AGGTGAGAGTTGTGATGTAACTAATCTGAGTTCGTTATTTCTTTCTTTCACTGTGGAGGTTTGTGCAATTTGTTAGACGTAGTTTTCCGGGAAACGGTGTTTGTTTGATCGCAACTGCGTCATTTTTGTTTACAGTAAACACACACACACTTCATTCACTCTTGGACACTTTACAATCTTTGACNTGTAATTTCAACAACCGATAAAATCCGGCACGATTTTTTACTGGTGAAGGTAGGAAAAGCTTGAATGAATGGAGTTCCTGACTGTGTAATAGTAATAATGATAATGTTGATCACGACGAGATGAATGTAATGCTTAGCCTGGAAGGAGTTATCACTTTTCTGAATTACTTTTTTCTTCAGACGCTTCTTCGGGTGGTGCACTGTTCTCGGCCTGGCTAGATACCTCAGTTTCCGCTAAAACGCGGTAATGTAGCTGACCTCTTTGTCCTACTAACACGCATAGTTGTGGAACCGTTCTAGACTGATTGTAGCTCGGGATGCGGATGCTGTCTTTGTCCGCAGACGTTTCATAGCCAAGCTAGGCAACATCATCAATGCGACTTCCGGGGGAAGTTGTTGGCGCTGCTTGTATGATATTGTGTGTCTGTCGTTCGTTGGTGAAACGTAGGCCATATTTTATTTAGATTTGTCATGTTTTGAATGTTGGAATTAGTATATTTTTAATTTTTCTAGGTAGAAATGTTTGAAATTATAAATACCTAGATGAATACCTACATATTGCAATTCTACGAAATAGAATTAGGAATGTTTTAAAAATAACCGGCGGTATAGCGAGGGATTATTCTTACAAAATTAATAGAGAGAGAATGACATGATGCAAACTCGGTTGTGTTGATTTATTTTATACCATGAGAAAAATCTCTTGAAGTGTTCTTGTTTTTTCTTTTATGCTAACTCACCGGCACGAGTTCTGTGAACCGTTGTTTAGTTTTATGGGCCTCACTCTTTCGGAGCGCATTTAATTCATTTTATTACACGCCCTAGTGTGATGAACAGACAGCCGCATAATCATAAGGACCTGCTTGCTATTCAGTGAAGGAAACCGGCAACCTAACCCCCGAAACTCAGAGTGGCGAATCACATAAGACCGCGTTAGGTTAGGCATGCTATTGAACCGGACGACAACAAAGCTGCATTTTGAAAGGTTATGTGGAAGTACTGAACCTCTGTTTCGTCCTTGTTGGATCTCACTAGCAATGCGTATTACCCTATTTTGGGATAAACTTTCGATTCGGTTGATAGCCAACATTTACGCTCATGCTTAAATAGATTAAATGGATTTCATTACATTTCTCTCCCAGGCACACTTTGAATTCCTGGTTTAAAAACCAGGATTAGCTTCAATAAAACCGTCCATAATTCTTTCATTTATTCATTTCTCTTATTCGGAACCTTATCTAGCATTAGCATTTGTAAAAATTTCAACACCGAGGCTAAATTTCTCTTCATTTATATTTTTCGTTCCCTTGTAATCTCTATCGTCGACCATAGCTCTAACCAGCTGATTCGAAAAAAAAAACAACCTAACGGCTACACCAGGTGGCGTCTAGCACACGGTTTGTTTGCGTGCTAACATCAATTCGTTCCCCGTTCAGTATCTGACCAGATGTGATGTGTTTTTGGATGCAGCTGATGCTCCTGGCGATTAGGGCGGAACCGGGGTTGTGGCTGAGGGGCAAGGCAGGGAAGGAATCGGGGGGGGAGGGGGAGAGGCAGGACGGAGATCATCCAGTTACAGTTGTTTTGACACATGTTTTCCAATCCCCATTCCTTTCTTTTTTCTTTGCTACTTCCCCCCTCCCTGTGCTTATGCTTAATGCACAGTTTAACCGGATAGAAAATTCCGGGGACGACGCCCACAAACTTGTTACCATCCAATTGCAACCTTCCTTCTCACCCATTAGTTGTTCTGTCTCTGTTCTACTAATGCTAGTTCGCATGTTTCGGCTTATTCCATTGTTCAGTTCGACCGATCAGTTTTTCTACGGAAATTGTCACGTCAGTTTACTAAGGCGCCGATTTAAACAACGCGATTGATAACCCGAGTTTCTTCTTATTCATTTTAATTACAACAATTTCTGGAATTACCAACTATCAATTTAAAAGTCATTGATTGTGGATTGTTTAAATCGGTTATTGGCTCCAATTATTCGTGATCCTAAAAGCGCTACTGTTCTGCATATAGTCAAACTAGGTACGGTGAAATAATAATATACGTTTTCCGGGTCAAACATTGATGACTTTGCAAAGTCGCTCAAAAGTAAAACGAAGTTTGGGAGACCTAGGCAATCAAGGACAGTTCGTCCGGGTCGGCTAAGACGCTCTTTTAAAGCAAAAAAATGGAGAAATGCTTTTTACAAAAATGGTAGGGGAATAGTATCATTCGAGGTGGAAGATGGGGTTTCCTTCTCATCTATGTATCCATCTATGTATGCCAAGATTTCATTCACTTTAACATTATAAAATGGAGCAATCTGATTCCAAAGCAACCAAGACGAGGCGTACGAATCACACACATCTCTTCGGTTCTGGCAATAGTCATCAAGGGCATCAAGGTGTATTGGATACCTTGGACATTCGACCCCGTCCAAAGGGCACATAGTCCCATAAACTGGACACCGATTTCCGATGGATTGCGGCTTTTATACCGCCCCGCTGCCTTGCGGGTCAGGCTTTAGCTAACTAAAGGTTCCAGTTGTGGATTCCTCAAGAAAATTCACCTGCCTTGGCCTGGGCAACCGGGCAATACTTCGCACACAAGCAAATTGTGGAACGTTTTTCCTTTTCATAAAGATTATTGTACCATGGTTTGTTTGGCACACAGTCTGACCTCAGACAAGTGTGAAATATAATAATAATAATAATGAGTGGAGTGTTTGCGGGCAGTGGCATAATGTGAACTAAGGAGGGGGGGAGCATGAATAATAAGTGCAAAAACATTCATACATTGTTCTGTTTGTCGATTATGCATCCTGACACCTGAAGGTGGTAGTCAAGAGGAAAAACAGTGGGAAACATACCTGACATGTGGTTTGTTCTGTAACTTCTTCACATAGTTCACCGAAAACTACCTGAATGGGGATCTCGGGGTCATTCGTACCAACGACGGAAGAAATCGAGTGATATGGCGAAGTATCTTGAACAGTGGCGCTCGTGCATCCACCTCTAAATGAATTCATTATTTTCATCCCGACACTGCTTTCCATAATCCAATCTTCCTTCTACTCCTTCATCCAAATGGGTAGCCAAGAGGCAGCAAACACAACCGCAACACAATGATGCATGGTTGTATAAACTGAAAGTGAAACTTTTTTAGAGTAGCAATCTTGGATTAACCCGTTCGATTGTTAAGAGGCACCAATCTAATGGGCTAATCAATGCTTGCTACTCTGAAAATTGATTGAGCCATTCTCACAAGGTGACGACTGTCGACCGTGTAGCTCAGGGGTAAGGGTTTGAAGTCCCGACCCGACTGATCGCAGTTCGAGTCCTGACATGGGGACACGAAATGTACGCACTGCTGACGGGTCCCAAATAGAACGAAACAACTGTATAATACTCTTTGTCGGTGATCGCAGATATTTCCATCGCATGAAATTGAAACTGTTCCAGGAAAAATTCAACACCATCTTTCATATATCTTTGTCTGGTTTGATCGTTTGTTCTCAGCACATTTTGATGTTGGCAGCCATCAGCGTTCGTTTATTACCTTCGACGCTATCCGCTACTGAGTCCCGTTGGCGCATTGTTTTGTGATGAGATACGCAGTATCAGGTTCCAGTCTACGGATGTTCTCAGAGTAACATTCGGTATTTATTACCTTTCTCGTTTCGTTCTTCATCTATTAATTTGTCTACATCATTGTTATTTACTATTCTCCTCGGTGTTCGACGAAACAGCTCAAATTGCGTTCTGGCGGTGGCGTGAACCAAAACGATTACCCGACTAGTGATACCTTTAGAGCTTTTACCAGACAATCAACACGTGCCGGTTTTGCTGATGCCGGGTCTGGTATTAGACGATTCTCTATTGCTTGTTTATCACCATCGGTGCTTCTTTTCAACAGACAGTGTAATGACAACTGTACTATTTATATGGCTTCTAATATCACCCACCGTTCTTACACGTTGCGTGCTGTGCCACATTTGTTTTTATCGGTTTTTACGAAAAGTAACAATCCTGCAGTCTAAAGAGTAATGGGGATGTGGCGCATGGGCTCCAGTCCGGAGAAACCTGTCGTGCTAACGTTACCCCATTATCCTAATCCTTTGTGCACGCATATATATATATAATCACTGCTTACATGATACCCGGGATTCTCCTCGCATTAAACATACTACTTTTTGTGGACAGCGTGATGTGTTTCGATCAAATATATTCGTTGTTCAGAATTCAGAAGATCAGACACCTAGAATCTTAGTTTTATTCGTTTGACTATTTTACCTAGATGCTGAAATAGAAAAGTACGGATAGGTGAAAATGCATATTATGAACGGATAGTAATGAGACAAGATATGTACCCCGAAAGATGGACCTTGATATTGTGATATATTTCAGTTTCAGCTTGATAGTCTAGCCAACTAAATGTCAGTTCGATAATATTCTGTTATGAATTCTTCGGTCTTTGTCTGCAAAATAATAAACTACGTTATCTTCCACAACAATAGTGGTAATGACAATCCCAAAAGGGTTTTGCTCAAATCGATATAAATAGTGATTAAAGACAGAAATGTCATGGTCGCGCTCGCGCTTTTGTGTGATGCACGCGCCAATCTTTACGATTCGCTGATCTTGGCCGGTTTTCTTCAATCGATTCATCCAGCTTTACAGGTTGTTCATAGTAGATTGGTTGGTTTCTTGAAACTGCTGAAAATATATTTGTCTATCTTTATATAGCTAAATATAACTCATTCTTGTCTGATATTAAATGTATTCATTATGCTGTACTCTCCTTCCGTGTTCGTTGTTCTTCAGTATCGCAACAATTCCCAATGGGACTCCTATGCCGGTTCAAATTTGTCGGGGTTCAACGGTACGTCATCGCGCAGTCTCAGCAGCTCGTCGTCAGCCTTGCTGTCCACTGTGGACATCCTGGTAGACATAATGTTTTTCGTGGACATTCTGATCAACTTCCGGACCACGTATGTGAACAAAAATGACGAGGTGGTTTCGCATCCTCGACGTATAGCGACACACTATATCAAAGGCTGGTTTTTCATCGACCTAGTCGCTGCTATCCCCTTTGATTTGATCTTCTTCCAATCATCTGGTGAACAGGTGAGCTAATTTTGATCTGTCCAATGCTCTGAACTTGGGTAGACACGTTTTATGCTTGTGAACACCCCGGGACAGTTGATCTTTAGACCCGCGGTGAACTTGATGTTACAGTGCAGTTCTCCCCCTAAACTGGATGTCGTCTAAACCGACCAAATTTTCGGCCCATCATAGTCGTTTGCTGTTTGCTTGATTGATTGGTGGTGTTGGTGATGCGGGGATGTTCAAAACTATCCTGCTCATGTCCACCTCCCAAATAGTTCCTGTGGGAATACTGGTGCCTTTCTGAAGATGTGAAAGATACAGTCGACTAGTGTAATCATGTGTGTGTGTGTGTGCGTGTGCATACACATTCCTCCTCTTCTCTTACTCTCGATCAGATTCAACCTTAGACTATTCGCCTCATCATCTCTCTGACTCTAACGCGTAACTTTCAGTCGCTAACTCATCGTTTCCTTGTCCCTATTTTACCCATATGATTTCGGTCCCTGTAATTAGAAACTCGAATACTTTTAATTAAACACCTGCATTTTTTTAATTGAAATTGATTCTTCATAGGTGGCGGTGGCGCAGTGGTTTAATTGCTGTCACCAGCGAGCTTTAGCCCCTGTGGTCCGAGGTTCGAGCCCCGTCACCACCACCCAACTTTGGTGGTCGGCAGCTTTGCTGTCGCTCGGTTCTATACCACACATGAGCTAGCGTTAGCGTTAGCCAGCCTTATGTGGTTCTCCACTCCAAACACCGGGGCTTTAGGTTGCCGGTTACCATCACTGAACAGCAGATCTTCGTAACTATGGGGTCCACGCCGACCGCTGTTCATCACACACAAGTGTGTATTAAAAACGATTGAATTCGTATCTTCCTTTCATCTTGGTCGGCTACATCTTGTTTTCGCTCGCCCCCCTACCCGAAATATCATCGCATGGAATTTTTGTACGGGTTTTTATCCTCTTTCTCAGAAGCTAGTTAATCAACTGTGTCAACTCTGTTGCAGGAAAATATGATGTTGACATTTGGACCATGCTGTCGCTGTATCTGGTGAACGCTCATTTCCACTTGTAATTATGTATAATTTGTGTGTCGATATGCCCCCTTAGTAACAGTTCGTCAGGTTAGGTTTGATCAAACCAACCGGTTGTACACCGCGGTGATCACATGTGAAAGTTGCTCACAGCTCAGTTGGATAACCTTGCCAGCGACAGTGAGATTAGAGTGTTTGTATCGAATGTGTATCAAATGGCAGACACCAAAACGGGTGTTTAAAGTCCACACGTTTTGTTGGTAAACATCTGTTTCATGCATCCCATTGAGGATGCTTATGCAGCGTTTCGTGTCTCCTGTATTGACTTGTCCTAGGAATGCCTGTTCATTATAATAGTGGTAATCATACTCGCTGTATCAGCAATACAAGTATTATTGTAAATTGTAATTTTATGAACCTGAACCGCTAGGTTCGAACCGAACAGCCAGCCAGACGGAAATGCACATGGTGTCCATAACCACAATTCTGGGACGATTGTAGGGTTCTGTCTTCAGATCTAAACTATGGGTACTCCAGTAACAGGGATTTGACCACCGCATGCACTGGACACCTAACATTGACGAAGAACGTTATTCTCAGGATGGCCTGATTGTGACTTGTGATCCACATCAGATTGGTTTTCAATATCGACATCAGAGATTATCATCGATTGCGGTGGTTCATCTAGGACCGGTTAGATGTTGGACGTTCAAACCTCAAAATATGCGCCCTCGAAGAGCAAGAGTAAGATGTTGAATGCTATCACCCAGGCTGGCATGCCACACATCGTCAATCTGTAGAGTCCGGTTTTGTCTGCGTGTCGTATGAACAGAATCGCGAAAAAGTGGGAGCGAAGTTGCTTAACACTTTTATATTCGTATAACGTTCTTTGTAAATGCTTCTAACTGAGAGAGGGAGTACCAAGATAACATGCTTCTAGATATCCTATCATCAATTGATCTCATTACATTTGCGGCCCTTTGTAGTTGACTATAACGTCCATTTTTGTTAGGTACTACTCACATTTGTGTATCATGTCTTTGGTGCATGCATCAAGAGCCAATTGGTGGATTTTCGCTGCATCCGAGAGTGAAATAAAGGATTTATTATCGTAACTAAGATGGAAACAAAGAGACTGTCGAGGTGATAGTCGTTGTTGAAAAGATTGGTGAAAAACTACAGAACCAACTTTTACAGCTTAGATGTTTCGTTCTGTTTGATCCCATTTAACCCTATTCGTACTGTAAATAATGCTCCCTATTCCGGCACTACCTTTTGACATCATAAAAACGTGATCCACTCACTTCTCATTTACTGAATACAAAATTTTAGATCGTGGTCCTTATTTCACTCGACCGTACAAGAAATTAAATGGAATAGTACTGGTAATCAATTTCACATAACTACGTCATCACAAATCAACAGTCGAACAGAGTTTATAGCGAGAAAAAGCTAGACTCACTCATTATATAAAATGAACAAAACAAGGTTTTTGCCAGCTACTGGTTATTTTCTCTAATTTTCTCGTCGTTTTAAATTCCAGTCTGTCTGTCTCTCTCTCTGTGTCTGTGTTTCANCAGCCTCGCTTCCCCGCCATTCCATCCCCATCTATGCTCTGTTTTCCCCCTATGCTTGGTGACCTGAACACACACCACCGACCGATACACACACTTGTTCTTGGACCTTGTCAAAGGTTGACGTATAAATCGTTCAAGTGATTTACTTACACGCCACGTCTATGTTTTGTAACTTCCCCATGTCCACCCGACCGTTTAAGAAATTTCTTTTTTTTAATCCCTAATCACTTCACTTCCATCCCCGTATTCCCTGTTGCTAGCCCACCGCCCTAACTAGCGTGCTCAAGTCAGCCCGTCTGTTACGACTTGTTGGAATAGTTCGGAAGTTGGATCGGTATTCGGAATACGGAGCGTCTATTCTACTCCTATTGACGGCACTGTTTGCCTTGATTGCCCACTGGTTGGCTTGCATTTGGTACGTTTGCATCCATCCATTCACCTACCCACAAAACTAGTGACTCGTATTTTGTTCTGCATTTCTCTTCTAAAATTTTAATTCAGCAGAGCTACAATCACCACGTGGTAGAATGCTCGTTACCCGTTTTTATGCGTTCTCCTACTACCTTACTCATTGGGTGTTGTTGTATCTTGGTCATATGCATCACTTGACCTTTTTGCTCCCAAGGTCGTTTATCAATTTCCCATTGCTGTGTTGGATTCGTGTAAAACTCTATCAAATTTCTATTAGGTGTAACGAGTCACATATTGGACCAATTCACACTCGAACTTATTTATTCCTGCCAAATGTGTAGCCAACATGCGTGTTATTTTCTCGTATCGCGAGCCTACTGTTGTGTCTCTTCCCCCCCCCGCCCCNCCGCTTCACTGGTACTACCCCGTTAGCCAACGCGTTTGTTCCGATCAAGCAAGTGGACGAACACCTGTTGCACAAACCAAGCGAAAAGTTTTCTCTTCTGCACTTAGACGCCACTTGGGTGCAATTCCATGTTATATCCTATATGACTCCTTACTAGTAGTCTGGTTGCCTTAGCAACTAATGGTGCGAACGTGATTTATTGATGTGACCGGAGGTTTATCTAGCCTCATTTATGCTCTTAATCATTATACTCTGTTTACGTACGTAATGAGTACATAAAATGAAGTTGGTGACCATTGTTGCGGAATGCAGCTGTTTCAGTCACTTCCCCGGTCGCTTATTTGTTAGCTAGTTAGCTAGCAAACAATCTGGTTAGACGTATCAGCAAAAGAAAAACAAAATGGATAAAAGAGATTAAGCTGGAGGCGATTCCCATACGATTAAGGTCGTTGAGTACTGCGAAGCAGACCCGGTTCAGGTTTGACTGGCACCCAATCAGATAGACATTGCTTTTGTGGACACGAAGTTGATGGTTTACGTGTTTACTGTTCACAGTATGGCCTCTAATTGTCATCACGCATAATGCATGTGGGAACGGTCATGTCAGGTCAACATGGTGCTCTGATATCAGGAAGTTTATCATCATTGGGAAGCTGAATATTTGGCTTGCAATGTCGTGAAGTGTGTGTGTATGTGTGTGCGCGTGCGTGCGTGCGTGGGAACATTGATTCCATGTGTCACGCTGCGCACTGTCCGATAGGTGTTAATTTTGATGAGTCGACTAATGCAGGAACAAATATTCATTGTGGATGCGATGCGATATTGTGATGTGTATCGAACCTTGCACATCTTAGCACTGACCTCCATTGGTATGAATCGGTTGGATTACATATTACATGAGAGTAGCCGAAGACTTGGTTTAATCAACTGTTAGATTTCGTCGTGCCAGCAATGCTGGCATTAAGCTCGCTATATGTTGTAAAAGAAACATGAAAAACGGTCGGATCAGCTATCCGGTGACCGAGGGGAAGTATTCTTGCGTTTTATTGATGACATCCCGGGTGGAAATCCCCAGATCCGGACAAGGGATTCGTATTGCTGATGAGATTCAACCAGGTCGAGAGGCACAACTGCGATGTCTCCGCTTCGTTTGCCTTGCATACCACGAAGCTTTTCATCATTCACATACCGGTACCCAGGAATTGTCTTTTCTGCACAGTAACCTCATTTGTTACACTGGGTAAATGCGCGGACAGTTTTTTTCAAAACTAGTCCATTGACGAATCATTAGTGTAAGTTTACTGTACTATAGTACATTATACTATACTATATCATGGTATATTTATATATTTCTCCCCATATGCACCTGGATGTGTATGTTATTACATCACAGTACAATATTTCTATATCAGTATCTATTAAATTGTTGCTTCTTTCAAATCAGCTGCTTTGTAAACCTACAATTTTCCGATTTCACCGCCTATTTGTGGTGCATCAGTTGCAAAATAATCGAGCATCAGTAGTAAAATCGTAGGAATATATTTATGCACGTGACTGGTTGGTAGGCATGCAACAGATAGGCTTTGTTCATTTGGTCAATACTCTTTGTGCCTTCCCACGAGCACTTTGTGCAACCGGGTGGTGGTGGCACAGTGGTTTAGTCGCCGTCACCTGCTTTGGATCCTGTGGTCCGAGGTTCGAGCCCCGCCACCGTTACCCAACTTTTGTGGTGAGCAGTTTTGCTGTCGTCCTATTCAGTACCACACCTAACCTATCAGGACCTTATGTGGTTCNGTGGTTCGCCACTTCAAGTCCCGGGGCTTAGGTTACCGATTTCCACCACTAAACAGCAGGTTCTCGTGACTGTGGAGTTCACCCCGTCTGCTGTTCATCACACCTGTGTGTGTAAAAAGATCACTTGGGCATGAATTCCACCAGCTTGGTGGTAATCAGATCGGATGTCTTCAGTTTTCTCCACTATCCGCTGCAACCTGAGCTCTAACGATCACTCTCGAGCTATCTGACTTGGCACTCTCTCTCTCTTCGACACATTGGGTGAAGTTTTCCATTAAATTCAGAACCGGGATGTTGGGCGGTAAATGAATTAGTTCGACCTTGAGAAATTGCCACTCCGTAAACTGTGTAGATATACAAAAAACAACGAATAATGAGATACAAAAGTGTCCATGACAGACCTCTTGTGGGACATGACATTGAGCTTAATCTTGGAAAAAATACCCTTTCCGATGGAGTTGCGAGAGCGATAGTCACTGGAAACCTGTTTGATCAGTGCAGCAATTTTTGTAGTATTCAAGATATCATGTGGAAAAAAGCGCAACATTGAGATGTTCCGTTTGGTCTCTACCGAGCTTATCAGGCGTGACGGAATATTTACTTTGTCACTGATGATATTGATTTGTTTGAAAAACTAGGTCCACAGGTTGTGACCATGTGTTTTTGGCCCTCGGTTCTGAGGTTCGCACCTGACCACCGTCACTCAACTCTGTTGGTAGGTAGCTCAGCTGCCGTCCAGTTCAATACCTCGCCTCACCTGGCGGGTCTTATGCGATTTGCTGCTTCAAGTCCCGGGGCTGGGGTTACCTGTTTCCATCAGTGAACAGTAGATTTTCGCGACTGCAGGGCTTTCTGCGTCTGCTGTTCATCGCACAAGAGTGTTTAATAAACAGATAACCTTTGTCCGACACACTTCTTGTTTATCAACTAGCATACATCAGTCCGTGGGATGCATCGAACGCGAAAACTGCGGGTGATGTAAAGAATTGTGAGAGTTGAATGAGTCATTTGAGCAAGGTGCTGGACAGATGACTCATTTCAACGCATTTACTTCTTTCTTTTACATGATCATATAAATGTACGTTTAAAGCCAAATGAGAGCACGTGAGATTGATGACCAATATTAATTCTGCCCACATATATCTTCTTGTGCTCATGAAATAGATAAAGGGCAAAGGATGTTTTACTTGTCATGTGCTCTCTAACTACACCCATTGGGTTTATTCCATGGGTGCCTCTGACTGTCCACTTCAGTGTTCACTTGCGTTGCTGTCTTGTTATTATTACACAACCCTTCTTTTCGGTCATTCCTGTTCCGTAGGTACGCTATCGGCCACGCTGAGCATCTACGACGGGAGCCCAAAATCGGTTGGCTCGACACACTGGCCGTGCAAACGGAACAATTCTACACGGACGATCCGCAATCCGGTCCCAATTTGCCGACNCCTCGATCGGATTCGGCAATGTCAGTCCGAATACGAATGCGGAAAAAGTGTTCTCCATTATTGTCATGCTTGTCGGATGTGAGTAATGTCCCATGTCACATGTAATTCGCTCTCACTGTGTTGTTAACGGTCCGCGCCAGTATGACTTGAGCTATTGTGGAACGAGCACCTTACATTCAGAACGGGAATACAGAATGGGATATACAAGAGCTGGACCAATTGCCGATTAGGAAGAGGTCAACTATGCCTACATAGATCTAAATATATCAGACGGTATGGGAGGTTTTATTACGCACTTCATCGCAGCCGGCCCCATTGGTGAGAATGAACGGGCTTCACAACCATCTGATCGCGGTTACCCATACCCTGTGATCGGCGTCAATGTTGTTGTGAATGTTGATCCTGTTGATCACACAGGTGTGTATAATTGAAAAAAGAACTCCGAAACTTACTCCACATTTGCGCTCATCCGTCATTGTAGTCGATTAGAGCTATCTCGTTTAGCCGAAGTAGTTGGTATGTCAAATTAACCCAACCTCATACTCGGGTTCGAATCCCAGTGGATCCCGGTGAATACGCACTACTGTGGATTCCTAACTAAGTTGAAGCTGCTACTTGCGCATGAGAACTGGATATATCGCGTTTCTAACAGCGTGAGGGCATTCCATTGTCATTATGCTATTATCCCGTAATGCATATGTATATAATGTACGTAGTGCCATGTTTATGTTGAATAAATCTCTGTGGATCAGTTGAGTTATTTTAATTTCAGGTGGCTAACACACTTGTCTAAGGATAAGTTAGTTTCATCGATGTTTCTGATCATGACCGCCCACGCATAATGGACCCAAGGGTGGTGGATCAGTGAGGATTTCAATCCAAATAAGATTCCGGTTCCATGGACCGCGCACTGCTTTCAGATCTGAAGGCCCATTTTAAACACGGACTGTGGAAAGCTAGAGCTTCATTTGGCCAATGCGAGAGCATCTTCACATTAAAATGCGCAGTAGCGAGAACTTAGATACTCCGGTCTGATCGCCGATCTTCGGAGGCCCTTACCGGACCGCTCCAGACCTCTCCATTGCAAGATAGCATGCGCACTTAGTCTGTTGATGGAGGGTTGTGAAATGTCTTCATTGGAAACGCGGTTCTGACATCTCGCTTTTTTGTCATCGTAGCCACTACTGATCAAAGAATTCAGTAGTTTGATGGCCTTGTCCCTTGACTGTATCGGACGTTGGAGAGAGAGAGGCTAAGACTTTGATGACGATCGGGATCTAACTAATGTCGTGATAGTGTACACACTCGTTGCAAGATCCTTTTTCAAAAATTGGAACAATCAGTAATTCACCCCAGGAAAACAAGCTTCACTCCTGCGACCAGACGTTGTGCAGTAAATCAGTAATGGACTTCATCACTTCGCCCATTTTGAAAAGAAGTGAAGGAAGCCCGTCAGGTCCTTGTGCTTTTTCTTCTCCTCAGAGCTTGAATGCAAGATTGAAATTCTGCTTACGTGGAGGATCACATGCCCATCGAGCTTCAACTGCAACCGATGAGCTAATCTGTTCGTCAATCAGTTGCTCCTTGTTATAAATAGCAGCTTCTCCAAAAACCGAGGTTCACCTGGCATTCAGTGTTGTATATCAGGTGGAACAGTCTTTGCCTATTCCCTGATACAACGGCTAATTTCATTTTTCAGACTATTTTTCCCGCCAGTTTTTACGGTCGTTCTTGAGGATCTTTGTGAGCTGAAGTTGCAGACACTCTCTACCTCTGTTTCATTCCCGGTCAATCATTTCATCTCCGTCATGATCAGTGCCTCGTGAGAGAGCCCATACCCCGGACAGCTTGAGACTCAGATTCACAAACGCGACGTTCGCTTCAGAGTGTATTGCTCATCTAGTCTGATCCCGTTTATTATCACTCCATTCATCTACACCAGTGCTTTGCAGCACCAGTCGATCAAGCCCAATTTCTAAATCAGACAAGCAATGATGGGCTAATCGAATTTGCTGATTTCGTCCGTTTGGAGCGTGAATTACGTCAAAACAGTTATGTGATCATGCTTAACGCAAGTGGTCCGATTGAACCCAACAAGTTGGTACGAAGCTACTCCAACGGTAGCTCGGTACTATAAAACCAAGTGGAGCCAACGTACCCGTTGCGATTTGGCTTGTCACGTTGCCCTTCGTCGAGAACTGGTAATGAACAAGATCAGATGCGCCCAATTTTTCAACCTGCGTATTAAAATCATGCACTAGCAAAGCTACATAGGAGTTTCTACTTAACCGAATGAGTTCGGCCAGTGTGTCCAACAGCTCTTTGTGCATCAGAACGGCCGTTCATCAGCGCTTATCGCGAGATGATGAAAAAACATCTTTCGGTATGGATTCCTTTCGGCACACTGATTGCCCCATGGGAGCGTATCGTACATAAATGATTGTTTACTAAATCCAGTCGATCAGGGTGGCTTCACCTCCGTCATTAGGTACAATACGTACTCCTCACTGATCAACTAAATGGACTTTGTGTTCACCTGCTGTGCGGATGTAGTGCCTCGAGGACAGGCCCGGCGCACTTGATTGGTTTATAGTACTAGCCTCTTGAATTTGCGTCTCTGATACGCGGTCGACATCAGTCGCAATGGACTCCATTGCTTGCGCCAGACAATCAATCCTGTTAATTCATGTGTATCAGAATCCTCACATTGAAGACCACCGCAATCAGAGTTTGACGGGGCTTTATAATCTACAACTGAGTTGACGGCAATCTACTACTACACTACTAATTGGGGACAACCTTTGAGAAGTGACAAACAGGTCTTGTGAGATATTGGTGCAGTTTAGAATAATGGACAGAGGGAGAGGGTTGAGGGCAAAGAACTAAACAAAGATTGAGATTCCTGAGCTGTAAACCGCTTATCACCATCCACCCGTTTCATGCAATGGTGACCGTGGTTCTAATAATCCAGCGCGACAATCGATGCAATATGGATTATGTTTTTTTCTACGCCTTAGAGTTCGATTGAGGGGCGAGGGGTGTGTGTGNGTGTGTGTGGGGGGGGGGGAAGGTGTACTGCTAGGGCATCCAACTACAAAGTAGGAAAACGATTAGGGTTCTCAATCAAATCCTTTAGGTCTGATGAGAACCTACCAGCAAGTCAGCGAAGTAGGGTGTCATTGCTTGGATCGGTTACTCCACTATCCTACCGACATTTTTTTTAAATTTTTTATTACACACTTTCGTGTGATAAACAGCAGACGGGGTGAACCCCATAGTCACGAGANGAACCTGCTGTTTAGTGGTGGAAACCGGTAACCTAAGCCCCGGGACTTGAAGTGGCGAATCACATAAGGTCCTGATAGGTTAGGTGTGGTACTGAATAGGACGACAGCAAAACTGCTCACCACAAAAGTTGGGTAACGGTGGCGGGGCTCGAACCTCGGACCATGGGGTCTAAAGCACACCTGAAATGCCAACTTGAGTCGAATCCTTAACTTGGGGGAGCAGGAAACCGGACATAGTCTAGCCCCTCTGACTGTTCAGGCATGACAAGATCTTTTTACTTGATACCAATCGTCCTTCGGAGCTCGTTGGGTCATAGAAGTGCAAATGCCATCATATCACGTCAATGTGCAGTTCCTTCGTGATGGTGAGACGAAATAACCCGATGGGATGATGCATTCAATTGAGAACTTTTTTTGCGGTTGGATTAGGTGTAACTGAATTTACTGCCTGTGCACTGGCTATGATTCTGTATTGTTCACTTCCCTAACTTTATGTTGTCAATAAACGCTAATGTGTAACGTTTGTAACGCATACTCATTGCTCAGGTATGCCAATAGTAGGCTTTTCGATTTGATCAGTGTTCACTCCGTCTTGCCGTTATACTGTTCTCGGCTGTTTACCGTTACGATCAACAACCGAAAGGTAATACCCCGCAATCCCCAGGATTCTCTGTTGCACGCTTAGTTTAACCGGTTACCTGAACCCCAGGACCGGAGCGGCCGTTCACGTAGGCCTCCCCCGTCGAGCTGATGCTCGTCCTGTTGCACCTGGATGCTATTTATGGTGGCTCCTACTACGATTTTTCGCATTACAAATCATCTTTCATGATAAGGAGTGACTTTGATTTACTGTTTTCTTTTCCATAATCGATGTACGTTTCATCAATGTTCATCGTCCCCCCCCCCTCTACCACATTGCATCTATGCCTGGACCTCCAATAAGCCCTTATGTACGCAAGCATATTCGGTAATGTGGGTGCACTGATCCAACGATTGTACAGCGGGACCGCACGCTATCATGCCCAAATGCTCCGGATCAAAGAATTCATCCGATTTCATCAAATCCCCAGTCCACTGAAGCAACGTCTGGAAGAATACTCCACTCAAGTGTGGGAGCACACAAACGGGATCGATATGACCATGGTACAATACAGTTTCCCCGAATCGCTTCAGTCCGACATTTGTCTTTACGTCTATCGGGACTTTCTAGGCGGTTCATCTGCATTTAAATGTGAGTCCGAACATGTTTGTGTCACTGGCCGGATTGCACTTGGTAACTAACTAAACGCGGGTGTGACTGTTCTGTGGATCTGCTTACTTTGTTCCACACTCTTATACTGTTGTGCGAACGTGTATGTAGATTATTTTCCACTTGAACCAATCATCCGCTAAGTATTTCGAAAGGAAATCGGTAAGTTCTGTGCTTCAGGACTCAAATGTACGTCGGATAGAATGAGAATTGTGTTTGCATGCACTGCTCACTATGCGTTACCTCTCTCTTTCACTCACATAACTACTCCTAACTGACAAGGGTAATGTGTCGGTAAACACAGTCATTGATCCTTTTCTTTGAGATTCAGAGTTCAGCTAGCCTGCGGTTTCAGATATCGTCCCCCCCCCCCTAAAAAAAGGGATCATCTGTTACGGCCTGTCAGGATTGCACTTAGATGCGGTTTGCGGATTATGTATCTCTATTTCCAAATCTATCACTTATTTTCCCATCAATTTAAGCCCATTCGAATATGTAAGTATAATAGTAATACTACTACTACTAATAATTTCATGGGTACACATGCTTTCCATGACTGACAGTTTTGTACATTGAGTGTAGCATTTCACTTCATCGATTCGATGTGTTTACGTCACACAAATTTCCCGGTTTTCTCGTGCAATGCAGCCCATCCGTTATATAGTTGATAGATCCACCAATTGTGATGTTTGTCATACATTCGTACCGCTGTGGTGACTAATTGAATGTGAGTAATTCTGATTTTGAGTTACTATCTAGTAGATACGTCCTAACGTTGCCTGATCACTCCAGACACCCTCTAACAAAGTAATTTGATATGTATCCGGTTAATTGTTGCTACCGAAGTGAACCGGCGGTGGTGGTGGATAGGCAATTGACGCGCTGTCCTATTTTGTTTGTTGCTTTCTTATCTGCCTGTTTAGTATACTTGTGGACCTATAAATGATGTGATCCTGTGAATGCTGTGTCCATAAACAATTTATGCGAAAAGTTTTTCGCGCACCACTCACTGACGTCATTTCGGGTCGTATTTTATTTCTTCTGTTGTTTATTCGTTCATTCTCCCATCTAGCACCTAAACAGTTCAAAAGTCATTCATTTCCTCTTACATACAAATACACTGAAGGCAGTGTGCATAACTGACATTAGGGATTCTGTGTGCGTCCACTTCATATTGATCGGATCAAGTGTGTTTAAGGGTGGGAGTGGGTTCATTTGCAATGTGAGTACCCTAAAGCACTGCTGTACATCTATCATCCACCGCTAATTATGACGGAGCAAGCATCACCGACCGAGGTGTGCCTATTTGAGAAAGAGAAGTCTAGTGAAGTTGTCGTGACCTGTTCACAGGTGTCTAAGATTTAGCATCTTGCTGTTCATACGAAGTCTGAGTTTATTTGAAATGACAACACGTTTTGATGTATTGCTGTGCTTTAATCAACCCCTTCTCCGATTATTTTCAAACCAATCCCAGCTGAATAAGACCTCCTGTGGTATAATAATCTTTCATGTCTCGTCTCCATTAATTTGGAAAAAAATGACCTGTCCATCGCCACAAAGTTGATTTAATCGTAATGAAAAATAATTGTTTATCGCCTTACCCACCCCATCAGCCCATGGGATACTCGGAAGTGATTCGAACAACAAATTCATGTGTACACAATACAAAAGATAACTCTCTCCCAGGTGTCAATCCGATCGTTGACACAGTCCTTGTGACCTTTCAACTTCATAGCGTCTCTGATTCGACTATACTATCTTTTCAATCCTACTTGTGCTGTTTAAGGTACGAACATGTTTGCGATCACCGTTCTCTGGTGTAGTGCCGCTACAGCTGAAGAACCTAAACTGATTTCATTGTTAGTGCTATATGGAATACTTTTCTCAGTTCGAAAACGATCCCAGTGCCACACTATCCGCGTGCTTACAGTGAGCTGAATTTACACACTAGTCAGAATCGTAGACGAACTGCTGGAGAACACCCAAAGTGGTTTCCAAAATATGAGTGTTGAATCGGTAGTTGGAGAAAAGCCGTAACGTAGAGTACACTGATGACATCTTCTGTCTGTCCCCTATGTATGAAGGACATCCAAAGCGCACTTGACAGATTAGCAAGTCCTGTCGCTCCCTTCGGCATGTGCTTTGCACCTTCAAAGTGCAAAGTGATACTACCAGACTGGGTGTCGCCGAGTTCTGTCAGAAAACTAGATGATGATGGCTGAATTTGACTGCTTCTTGTACTTGGTTAGTTGCGTGACCAACGACGGTAGCTCATCAAAGGAGATAACCACACGCATTTCCAAGACCCGAAAAGCCAACACAGGACTGAAGCACCTGTGATGACAACGTGACGTTTCACTGAGGTTGGAAAGTCGCGTATACTACGCCACTGTACGACCAGTTCTTCTTCACGGTTGTGAGACCTTGAGTTTGCGGGTAAAAGACATGTGTCGCCTAGTGTTATTCGACAATCGATGCTTACGTAGTCTGGCCCAGGTGGGATGGGGTGAGCGCGTTAGTAACCTAGAGGTAAGTCGTCGGGTATTTAGACATGCATCGAATTCAGCTCAATAATCTCCGTTGGTTAGGACACGCTTTGCATATGTCCGACGGTCGCCTGCCGCAGCACGCCTTATTCGCAGTGGCTGCTACTGGCTGGAGGCCAGCAGATGACTTGGAGACGAAGCCTGAAAAAATGTCCAGAACGATTAGGTAGAGTAGGTATCCCTTGTCTTCCGGGTTGGGGTCCAAAAGACTC